ACGCGCGTACCCGTATGTTGAACTTGCTGCGTAGAGCGGCAACCTCCTGGGATGACAGAGCGGCGATGTCCTCATGTTCCACGTAGAAGTTCCTCGCAAACGGACGATATTCGATCGTGGAGTGATCGATCGGTGGCAGCGGATCTATGACCTGTCACACAGACACAGATCATCTTATTATAAATACAAGATCAATCATTTATCGTTATCACAGGATACGATATTCGATCGTGGAGTGATCGATCGGTGGCAGCGGATCTATAACCTATCACACAGACACAGATCATCTTTGATCTTGTATTTATAATAATCATTTATCGTTATCACAGGATACGATATTCGATCGTGGAGTGATCGATCGGTGGCAGCGGATCTATAACCTATCACACAGACACAGATCATCTTATTATAAATACAAGATCAATCATTTATCGTTATCACAGGATACGATATTCGATCGTGGAGTGATCGATCGGTGGCAGCGGATCTATGACCTGTCACACAGACACAGATCATCTTATTATAAATACAAGATCAATCATTTATCGTTATCACAGGATACGATATTCGATCGTGGAGTGATAGATCGGTGGCAGCGGATCTATAACCTGTCGCACAGACACAGATCATTGATCACTGATCATTCACACTCAAACACAGATCACTGATTTGTAGTAAATACAAGATATCGTATATATAAAAGATAGATCATTTATCGTCAACACAGGATCACAGTAGCACAAATATACTAGCTTACTCATTCCCGTACTCTTGCACACCACACCTTTGACCTCCCCTGACTGTCTTTGACCTCCCCTGACTGTCTTTGACCTCCGCTGACTGTCTTTGACCTCCCCTGACTGTCTTTCACCTCCCCGCCCACCTTTGACCTTCCCACGTCACCTTGGAACTCCCCTGACTGTCTTTGACCTCCCCGCCCACCTTTGACCTCCCCACGTCACCTTGGAACTCCCTGACTGCCAGTGACCTTCAGCTTGCCTCACCTTTGACCTCTCGGGTGGTATCGGGTTTCCGTCCTTGTCGTATTCGATATCGACTCCGTCCTCCGTGTACGTGAGGATGACGCCGGCATTAGGGTTCTCCTCCATGTAGCGAAAGAAAGACTCCTGGTCATCCTCCTCCTCTATGTCCGCCCGCTCCCCTCTAATAATTAAGTAATAGATTAATTAATTAATAATAATTATAATTAATAATAATGTAAAATCATGAACATGAATGAATGAATGAATATATTATAGGGATAGAGAGAGAGAGAAAAAGAGGGAGAGAGGGAAAGAGAGAGAGAGAGAGAGAGAGAGAGAGAGAGAGAGAGTCTCTCCCTCCTCATCCCTTACTCTCTCTCTCACTCTCTCTCTCTCTCTCTCCTCTCTTCTCGCCACTCTCTCTCTCGTCTCTCCCCTCTCTCTCTCTCTCCTCTCTCTTCTCTCTCTCTCTCCTCTCTCTTCTCTTCTCCCTCTCCTCTCTCTCTCTCTCTCTCTCTGTCTCTCTCTCTCTCTCTCTCTCTCTCTCTCTCTCTCTCTCTTCACTCTCCGCTCACTCTCCCACTCTCTCTCTCTCTCTCTCTCTCTCTCTCTCTCTCTCTCTCTCTCTCTCTCTCTCTCTCTCTCTCTCTCTCTCTCTCTCTCTCTCTCTCCTCTCTCTCATCTCTCTCTACTGTCTCTCTCTCTCTCCTCTCTCTCTCTCTCTCTCGCTCGCTCTTCTCTCTCTCTCTCTCTCTCGCTCTCTCAGCTCTCTCTCTCTCTCTCCGTCTCTCTCTCTCCCCTCTCCTCTCTCTCTCTCCACTTTCTCTCTCTCTCCCCTCTCTCTCTCTCTCTCTCTCTCGCCTCTCTCTCCCGTCTCTCTTCTCATCTCTCTGCTCTCTCTCTCTCTCCCCTCGTCTCTCTCCCTCTCCCTCTCCCTCTCTTTTGCTCTCTCTCTCCCCCCCTCTCTCTCTCTCTCTCTCTCCCTCTCTGCTCTCTCACTCTCTTCTCTCTCTCTCTCTCTCCTCTCTCTCTCTCCCTCTCTCTCTCTTCTCTCCTCTCTCTCTCTCTCTCTCTCTCTCTCTCTCTCTCTCTCTCTCTCTCTCCCTCTCTCTCTCTCTCTCTCTCTCTCTCTCTCTCTCTCTCTCTCTCTCTCTCTCTCTCTCTCTCTCTCTCTCTCTCTCTCTCTTCTCTGTCTCTGTCTCTGTCTCTGTCTCTGGTCTCTGTCTCTGTCTTCTGGCGTCTCTGTCTCTGGTCTCTGTCATCTGTCTCTGTCTCGTCCTCTGTCTCTGTCTCTGTCTCTGCTCTCTGTCTCTGTTTTCTGTCTCTGTCTCTCTCTCGCTGTCTCTGTCTCTGCTCTCTGTCCTCTCTTCTGTCTCCTGTCTCTGCCTCTCTGTTCTGTCTCGTGTCTCTGTCTCTGTGTCGTCTCTGATCTCTGTCCTCTGTCTCTGTCTCTGTCTCTGTCTCTGTCTCTGCTCTCTGCTCTCTGCTCTCTGTCTCCTGTCTCTGTCTCTAGTCTCTGTCTCTGTCTCTGTCTCTGTCGATCCTGCGCTCTGTCTCTGTCTCTGTCTCATGTCTCTGGTCTCTG